ATTAGAAATTGACCTTCCATATGGCCCAGCAATCCCCCTACTGGGAATATACCCAGAGGAACACAGATCATTCTACAAAAAAGATACCTGCACACCCATGTTTGCTGCAGCTCTATTCACAATAGAAAAACATGGAACCAACCATGCTGCCCAACAGAGCTAGACTGGATTAAAAAAAAGTGGTCCATATACACAATGGAATATTATGTAGCCATAAAGCAGGACAAACATATGGACCTTGCAGCAACTTGGATGGATTTAGGGTATATCATACTTAGTGACCTATCCCAGAAACAAAGAACAGAGTACCATACGTTCTCACTTATAAGGGGACCTTGAACAATTATTATAATACTATAAAAAAGGAATTGGCAGTAGTGGGAAATTGCTAGGGGGGAGGGGGTTAGGATCGGCAGGGGAGGGAGGGGTGCACCTCATCTACAAGAGTCCCTGCATAATGAACATTTGTCTACCTAACCATGAATTATACCCCACATCTTTAAAATAAAAATAAATAAGAATAAAAAAATTTTAAAATAATAAAAAAATAGATACCTCACTAATAAAGTCTATATCTAACATTTCAGCAAAACAATAAAAAAAAGCGAGGAGAAAATCTCAATGTAAATCTGTATACTGGGCTATGAATGAAACAAATTCTAGTTGTTTGAATTAATTCTCAATTTTCCAGAATTGTCACAAAATTACAAATTTGTTGACTTTCAGTTATCTGCAATAATGAATATATGAGAGTATATTTGAGAGATAATATAATTAAGAGAATAAATGAGAGTATTTAAAACCATGAATAATCCAAAATTATTTTAAATCATATCTAGATATACATAAATCTCTGTCCCTTTCTTGATTTGTCCCTTCCTAGAACTCTCTCCTCTCCTACCCAACAGTCTTTATATGGGCATTCTTCACATGCCCAGAGTGTTTGCTCCCATGCCCTTCCCTGGACCAACCCAGCACTCCCTAGCCACAAGATAAATAGAATTATATTATCTCTTTTCTGTCCCACCCACACTTCCTAAAGTAGACATTAGGTGGGAAGTTGGAAATACTTAATATTCTATAATTTAAATAAACATGTTTAATCTAGAATTATTTACATAAATATCACTCAGACCCAGAAACTTTTAGAAGTTATAAAATGAAGCTCACAAAGATGTCAAAGGGTCACCAAAACTGCATCTAGCAATAATTTAAAAATATTGGCTGGGCACAGTGGCTCTTGCCTGTAATCTCAGCACTTTGAGAGGACAAGGCAGGCAGATTGCTTGAACCCAAAAGTTCAAGATCAGCCTGGCTAACACAGTGAGACCTCATCTCTATAATAAATCAAAAACTTAGCCAGGTGTGGTGGTGCATGCCTGTAGTCTCAGCTGCTCAGAAGGCTGAGGCAGAAGGATCGATCACCTGAGTCCAGGAGGTTGAGGCTGCGGTAAGCTGTGTGCCCGCCCCTACATTCCAGCCTGGGCAGCAGAGAACGACACCAACTCAAAAAAAAAGAAATATTGAACAAATAGATTATTATAAGGCAGAATCACTCACAAAAATATCCTGAGATAGAGCTATCCTTTAAGATCAAGGTACTTTCCTCAGGTGTTTAGAAACATGCACATCTAGTTAATTCTCTATATAATTTTAAACAAATAGTAATAAATAACACTAGAAACTAGCAATTAATATGGAGTATTTGCTACATGCCAAGCTTAGTTTTGAATAGTTTATCAATTAACTTATGCTTCAAAATGCCCCTGAGTATTAGGTATTGTTTTCATCCTTCTTTCAAACAGGCAGAGCTGAGACACAGAGGTAGTAAGTTGTCAAGGACAAAGTCAGATAGGAAGGCAGCCTGCTTCAGCATCTGTATTCTAACTTCCATAATATGGTGTGTGTGACATCCATCAATGATTTTTATTCTTCTAACTCAACGATGCTGAAAAGAATATCTGCCCTAGGGTTAGGCACTGAAAAATAATTGCTATATGGTATTTCTGTTAAAGATTAGACTACATGGACCATTATTTTCCATGGATTGAATATGTATATTCCCTCCAAATTCTTTTTTTTTTTTTTGAGTTGGAGTCTCACTCTGTTGCCCAGACTGGAGTGCAGTGGCCGCTCCCGGCCACCGCAGCCTCTACCTGCTGGGCTCAGGCGATCCTTCTGCCTCAGCCTTCCAAGTAGCCAGAATTACAGGCATGCGCTACCACACCTGGCCGACTTTTTGATTTATTGTAGAAATGAGGTCTCGCTGCCCAGGCGGGTCTCGAACCCGCGGGCTCAAGCAATCCACTCACCTCAGCCTCCTAAAGGTGCGGGATTACAGGCTGAGCCACCGAGCCCGGCTCCCTCCAAATTCTTATGTTGAAACCCTAATCCTCAATGGAATGGTATTTGAAAATAGAACTATTGGAAGGTAATTAGGCCATGAGGCTGGAGCCCTCATGATGGGACTAGGGCCCTTACAGGAAGATACAGGAGTGAGCTGGCTTCCTCTCTCTCTCCTCTCTGCCATGTGAAAATACAATGAGTGAGAACACAGCCATCTGAAAACCAAGATGAGTGTCCTCACCAGTCACTCGATCTCTGATGCCTTGATCTTAGACTTCCCAGTCTCCAGAAGGGTGAGAAATAAATGTCTGTTGTCTAAGTTACCCATCTATGGCAATTTATTATAGCAGCCTGAATGGACTAATCCACAATGAAGGTCACTTGTGAGACAGCACAGTAAAGGAAACCAAGGGAAATACAGGCATATCTCATTGTATTGCTTTTTGCTTCATTGTACTCTGCAGGAATTGCATTTTTTTAGTAGTTGAAGGTTGCGGCCACTCTGCATCAAGCAAGTCAATTGGCGCCATTTTCTAACAGCATGTGCTCACTTCATGTCTCTGCACCACATTTTGGTAATTCGCACATTTTTCAAATGTTTTCATTATTATTATATTTGTTATGATGATCTGCAATCTTTAATGTTGCTAATGTAATTAATTTGGAAACCTCAAAAGAAGTTCATATAAGACAACAAATTTAATGAATAAATGTAGTATGTTCTCACTACACAGACCAGCCATCTCCCCTTCTCACTCCCTCTCCTCAGGCCTCCCTAGGCCTTGAAACAAATCTATCTATCTATCCATCTATCTATACATATATATAAATATATGTATATATAAATTAGACCAATTGATTATCTTACTAGCCTCTAAGTGTTCAAGTGAAAGGAAGAGTCACACATCTCTCATTTCAAATCAAGAGCTACAAAGTATTAAGCTTAGTGAGGAAGGCATGCTGAAAGTTAACACAGGCTGAGAGTCAGGCCTCTTATGCCGAACAATTTGCCAAGTAGTGAATGCAGAGGAAAAGTTCCTGCAGGAAATTTAAAGTGCTACTCCAGTGAACACATGGATGATAAGAAATCAAAACAGCCTTATTGCTAATATGAAGAAAGTTATAGGAGTCTGGATAGCACAAACCAGCCTCGACACTTCTTTAAGCCAAAGCCTAACCTGGAGCAAGGCGCCACCTCTTCAATTCTTAGGTGGGTTCATGAAGCTTATGAAAAGAAGTCATCTCTATAACAAAAAGTCCAAGGTGCATCAGGAAACTAATTAAAAGCTGCAGTAAGTTATCCAGAAGATCTAGGTAAGATAATAGATGAAGGTGGCTACATTAAACAATATACGTTCAGTGTAGACAAAATGGCCTTCATCTAGAAGCAGATGCCTTTTAAGATGGTTGCAGCTAGAGAGAAGATGTCAATGCCAGCTTCAAAGATTCAAAAAGACAGACTGACTTTTTCATTAGGGACGACTGCAGGTGTAGACTTTAAGTTGAAGTCAATGCTGTGCTATTATTCTGAAACTTCTAAAGCCATTAAGAATTAAGCTACAACTTGATGAGACCTCATCTCTACAATAAATCAAAAACTTATCCAGGTGTGGTAGCGCACATCTATATTTTCGGCTACTTGGAAGGCTGAGGCAGAAGGATGGCCAGAGCCCAGCAGGTCGGCGCTGGGGTGGCCATGGCTGTGAGCATGCCACTACACTCCACCCTGGGTGACAGAGTGAGACTCCAACTCAAAAAAAAAGAAAAATAGAATTATATTCAATCTAGTCTGCCTTTATTCTTTAAATGTAACAACGAAGTCTAGAGGACAGCACATCTGTTTATAACATGGCTTACTAAATATTTTAAGCCCACCATTGAGATCTACTGCTGAAAAAGAAAATATTCCATTCAAAATATTACTGGTGAACACTATTCACAATAACAAATACTTGGAATCAACCTAAGTGTTCATCAATGAATGAAAAGATAAAGAAAATATGATATATATTCCACAAGAAGAATCAAGATTCCAGCATCCATCAGCTTTTAGGGAAGGAGATGTGTAATAAAAGGCCTGGTACTTCCTTATCAAACTTCAGGAAGACAAAGGCATGTTCCTTCAACCAATCAGTACACTTGCTTCTCAGAGGAAAAAAGGTCTGCCTCAGGTAAGCTAGGGACAGAAGATTTCACTCCCCCCCCACCCCGTTATCAAGATGATAGAGATATCATTCAAATTATAGCTAGTTCGGAGTTATTTTGAAAATCACTCCTACAATATAAACAAATCCTCACATTTAAAGGACAGAAAATAGGAAACCAGATGAGGTATCACCCACAAAATACTGGCCCTGTTGATACAGCATCAAGTAGAAAGTGCCACCAAATGCTGAGCACACAGCTCACTGCACTCCACAGCAGCATCTCAGTCACAGCTTGGGTGAACTTGAAAGCAAGTCTTTCTTCTGCGATGCAGCTGTGAGGAGCCTGAGACATATCCATTATATCACAGAAGATACCCCAGTTAGGGTAAGTTATTTGGGATTTTCAGAAGTGTTTAAAAAAGCTTACATTGTGTCTTTGCCTACCCAAACATCTCCCAGGACTATGCCTATGGCCTTCTCAATACCCAGTAAACTCCTTTTGCTTACTTAGGATAATGTCTTGATTGAATGAAGGGGAGTATCTCAGAGTCTTGACTAGATGGAGGTAGTAGCAAGTCTCGAAATCGTTCTGTCAAAAGAAAAATAAACATCAAGCTGTAAAAAAAAAAGTCATGAAAATAAATTCAAAATGGAAGTATCTCCCATTGTTTTATTTTATTAGCCATTTTGACTGTACATCCCTTAGTAGAAATGTACCCATAATTTTATATACAACTAAAATATGTCTATTTCTCCTTAATGGTGATATATCTTTATAAATTATTATATCTCTACAAATATAAAAATAGCAAATATTCATTAGTATAGACTAATCAAATCTTACATTAAAAGGTTAGAGAAACCACACATGACCAAAAAACATAACAAGAGATATACACTCTCATTAGTAACCATACACCATTAGCTAGCATGCACATTATATGTCATTCAATTGACAGAAATTAGTCTCACAAGACCAAGTATTAGAGAGGATGTTGATCAACACGAGCTCTTTGTACCTTGCTGGAAGGAGGACAAATTGGAACAATAGCTTTTGAAAACAACTTGCCATTGTCTTTCAACTTTTGCATACCCTACAGTCCAATATTTCCATTCTTAGGGCTATGCCCTTTAGAAACTTCCACATGTGTCTTAGCCAACCAGTAACCCTTCATAGCAGCACTGTTCATAACAACAGAAATGGAAACAAGCTGCTCATTGACATGAGAATAGACAGTTTGTGCTTATTCACAAAATGGAATATTAATTGAAGTGAAATTGAGTGACTTCAATTACAAATAAAATCATAGTGTATCATATTAATATAATTTTGAGTGAAATAAAATTCCAGCATATTACTATAGTAAAATATCACTCTTATTGATTTAAAAAAATAAGTAAGCAATGTATTGTTTAGGTTGGTAATATCTGAAACAAAGCAAACCAACAAAAAAAGGAATGATACATACAACTTGCGATAACGGTTACCTTTGAGGAAGGGTAGGTGATTAAAATAGGAGAGAAGCTAAAGGATAGACATAAATAATTGTGTATATTTCATATGTATGAATTATAGTAGCACAAATGAATGAGTAAATGAATAAGTGAAGGAGGATCTGGAAGAATTTAATGATGACAGTAGACCATGAAACCGAGAAAGTTTAATAAACTGCATTATGTATGAAGTTCATAACGAAGGAGAGAGGGAGAAAAGGAGGTGGGAGGGAAGAAGGAAGGAGTAATGAAATGAAAAACAAAAAGGCAAACACGAGGGTTGTGGAGGGAAGATCCTCAGTACTAGCTTGGAAACACATTGCATATTATCTGCATCGCATACAGTGCACACATTTCCAGGACGAGATATTCATTATCTTCAGAGTCATTCCTACAGAAAGCCTTCTTTGAATCCTCTATTGTTCTCTTTACCACTTTCTGTCAAATCTGAAATAGGTTGGCCCGACTGCATACTCCTAGTACACCATACTTTTGGGCTTTCACAGATTTTATTACATTGTGATTTATTGTTACACATATTTGTCCACTTTCTCTCTCCTTACTAGACACAGACATGATCTGATATGCATTGAGGTACTAGATAAATGTTTGTAGAAGAAATATTTCACACACCCATCTTTACTTGATAGAGAAAATTGTTAATCAAAGTTAATTATAATAAGTCAACAAATGGTTATACATCAACCATGAAAAGCAAGGTCATCTGTACTCCATCGTTGACAGAGTTGCACGATAAGGCTGAGCTGGAGTGCAAAGCTAAAACTCCACAGCCAAAACAAATCAATCACTAACCAAAGGTGAGTAATTTTCACAAAATACTGTATATACTTGATGACAACTGTCATTCCTACTTACTGAATAGTTAGATGTTAAACCATTAGTGAGCACAGTTGACACAAAGTATTCCTTAAAAGTAAGATGTAGATTTTATCTTCATATTTTAAAAAATATATTGAATCCAATTTATTTAACTGGTTTCTACTGTTTTTGTTTGTTTGTTTTTACTACCACTATGGCAGTTCTTATATATACTTTAGGAGGAACTAATGAGATCCAAAAACAGATGTGGTTGTACTCTAAAGTCTAGAGATCCAAAAAGCACCATTTATTTTTCTCCTTTGATTATACTTACTCTTTAATTCGAATTTATATTTTTTAAGTTATATTATTGGCTGATCAACTGCTATTTTTATATGTAAAATTAATACTTATTTTAATGAAATGACTAGTAAATCCTTCTGATGATAAACAACACTTGGTTTTCAGTCTGTTTCTCAATTTACGGAGCACCCATTAAATAAGTGATTGATTTGCAATGTTTATCTTTTCCATTTTTTTCCATTTAGTTTTTTCCAAAAATGGGTGAAAAATAAAGTCAAAACCCAACAGCAAACAAGAACTTTACATATCAAGTAAAAAAATTGTTTGATCAAACAGTTATATTGGTTATCATATTCCTTGGGAGCTAAAAGTATAAATTAAAGTTTACTGAATGACTCCTAAACTTGTTTACAAGCAAATAAAAATCAGTATTCTTAATGTGTACAATCATAATATATCTTTTTCTTAGCAATATGCTTTTCTCCTTTTATATAATTACAAAGGATATATGATTATAAATCTGAGGGAAAACATATCCAGTGATGACATCATATTGATAGGACTAAAAACACATATACACACAAATAGCAAAATCAGCATAAAAGCGATCACTTATAAAACAATGAAGAAATCAACAACTAATATGCCTACATTTGAAATATCCTTTACTCTGGTTATCATAAATGCAAAGAATACCAAGCAAACATGAATGAAAGCCCTTGAATAGCTATCATAACGTCAAACAAAAAGTTTACACATACACAGAGAATATACACAGTACCTTAAAATTATATGCTTTAAAAAAGTCCGTGTTTATTATTATATTAATAAATTCCTACGTGTAAATAATTAGTTTTATCCCATGAAAGAGTATTCATTGTTCCTTTTTTTCTTTATGAGAATCAAGATAAATGAGAAAAATCGCCTTAGAACAATTCGAGTAAATAAAAAAAAAAACTATAGTTCTTACATTAGTCCTTCTTTAGTCTCCCAGGTTTCTACCTATCAATTATTAATTAGCATCTCATTCTTACTCTGGTTGTGAGGAAAAGACCAGAAAAATTGGATGTTTTCTTTATTAAGTTACAAAAATTATATAATGCTACTTCCCTTGCAGCAAAATATCAAACCAGAAGATCTACTTCATCAGCAGCCTTTCTCCAGAAAATGGCACAGTTATACAAATACTAGAGTTCAGTTCTTTCACAGGGTTTCTTAGAAAAAATTTATTAAGCCATTAAAAAAACTAAAAAATATTCTACCAAATGATATCATGATGAACTGACTAATGAGGTGGTGATGTCTGAACATGACTCTCTACCAGTCAGGGATATATCTTAATTAACACAAGCTGTTGTAGTCTTAACCCACTATTCCTTTCCACCATTTAATCAACATGGAGATTCTGAAGCTACCAGACCTGGATGACATATTGCACACGATTGCATTAATGTGGGTCTCTGGCTAATCAATTGTGAGACGATATATTTAATTGTTGAAAACAAAGATGAGAAAAAGAAAATACTCTTTCTAATTTTACTTGAAACATTTTTGTACATTTGCTTCTTTTTCCACTTTGAGATAAATGTCCAATCTCTCATCTTTCCCAAAGTGTAAAATATATCAAATGCAATAAGGATTTACATAATAGCAAAAAAGCAGTATGAAAATATATTCCTGTGCTGAAAAGAAAATAAAATCCCCTATCACTACAAAAAAATTGAAGGAAAAAATAATGCTAATTAATGCTAGCCTTTTATGATCTATAGGTTCTTTGCATCCAAAGATGTGATCACAGTCACCTAGTTTTTTCAACAACAGCCGAAGACAGAGCTGGTGTTTGCTGAAGGGAACCTGTCAGACAAGTTTGATCAATTCCAAATCATTGTTTTCCTTCAGGTGATCCCCTTTTCTATCTCTCTCTCCATAGTATCCACTATGAAATGAGTACTTTAAAAGCTTTGAGTATTAGATTATCATGGTCAAGAAAAGAAAGTCAGATAAAGCATTTCTAAAGGGAAACAGTGTTGCCCCTCTCCAAAATGAAAAATAAAGACAAAACAAACAAGAACTTTACATATCAAGTAAAAAATTTTTCATTTTGGAGAGGGGCAATACTGTTTTGAACAGGGTCCCTCCAGCAAACACCAGCTCTATCTTAGGCTGTTGAAAAACTAGGTGGCTGTGATCACATCTTTGGATGCAAAGAACCTATAGGTCATAAAAGGCTAGCATTAATTAGCATTATTTTTTCCTTCAACAATTAAATATTGGTTATAATATTCCTTGGAAGCTGAAAGTATAAATTAAAGTTTACTGAATATTAAATTAAATTAAATTAAAGTTCCTGAAAATAAACTATTTGCATCTTTATTAATATGTCAAAAAAAATCTATATTTTAAGGCTCATGTTACACTCAATTTGCCAGCTTTAATTTTTTTCAAGAAGCACAAAATAAAATCCTTAAGTATAATGTACCGTAGTATTAAGAGTTACCAAGGTACAAGACACTACCCCCCATACCCTAATCAAAATCAGCAAGATGATTTTACCATTATATTTGTATTACTTTACATTTTTTGCAATATAAGCTAAGGGTTGTTTCTTAATACAGGAGACGTTATCAGTTAGTATCTGGCATAGCAAGTGTCAAATCATTCTTGACTCATACGGTTTGCAGTACTTAGCAATAGCTGGTTATAACAGGAAAGACACTGTTGCCAATCAGATCTTTAGTATTCTAAGCACACACATAAAAAGTAACTACATGAGGTAACAAATACATTAATTAGCTTGATGGTGGTAATTAATCATAATACATATGTATACCAAAACATCAAAATAAGTGAATATATAAAAGTTTTACTTGTCAATTATACCTAAATAAGGTAGAAAACATATGATTCTTTTGGAAAACAAAAAACACCAAACTGTTTGTCAGAAAGCCTGAGTTCTTGACCTACTTCTTCCTC